TGCGAGTGCAAATTTCCGGGCACTCTAGTGTCCAATCTCCTTTTACCCTCGAGTCGCAAAAGGCAAACTTGCCAATCTAACTCTTCAGGTTCAAGAAGATTGAACAGGGGCAACTGTTGTACCCCAAAATTTGCCCTCCCATTTCATCAATATTTTCTCACCACAAGACCCTTGAAGCTCAAGATCAAGTTAGAGTTTGCTCTGCTCAAGACTTCTCCTTGCACTGTTGACCCAAATTAGGGTTTGAGTTTGCACAAAGATGTTTTGACCCAAAAGGCCCAAAGTGACTTTCATGCTTCATGTTGGACTCACAAGTTCATCCATACCAAGTTTCAGGCCTTGATTCCAATCTTTGCCCAGTCAATTGGACAGTTGACCTAGAAATAAGCTGTATTGGGGAAAAAGTCAACTGTGGTCAATTGACAGGAAAACCTCATGATTTTTGACCCACATCAACATTATGAACTCATATGGACCATTTGATCAAGTTTGGATCACAATTTCACAAGAAATTTGATCAGATCACCAAAAGGGCAAAATTGTCATTTTTAGGGTTTTGACTGCACAAAGGCAATTTTTGACTGTTTGGCCTAACCAATGGCAAACCAAGCTCACATATGGACTCAAGGACTCAATGGCATTGTCTTGACATGTTCAACAAATTCAAAAGATCCCAAATGCACAAGATTGACAGATGAATTTTCCAGTCAACTGAGCAAAATTTGACTGTATACTGAAAAGTCAAACTTTGACTTTTTGGTCAAAATCAAGTGTCAAGATTCATTTTTCATCAAGATATGCCAAATTATGAAACTTGTTCATCAATAAATCAAAAATCACAAATTAGGGTTTGAAATGAAGAATTTTCATAACTTAGAATTTTTCTAAGTTATGAAAATTCCTAATTTTTTCCTAACTTTGTCCCATTTTTTCATCAAGATACATTTGGATTCAAGGAAAACTCAAAACATGAAAGTTGTAGTCCATTGAAAAATCTACAACTTTTATTCACAAAGTTTCCTCAAAAGAAGCGTGTAGCTCAAGTTATTATTTCTAGAACAAGGGTGCAAAACATTCTTAACTTAGAAAAATTTTGACCTATTTTAGGCAGGATTTTTGCCTAACTTCATGACCACTTTTCACATGCTTCCACTTGGAATTTCAACTTGCATTACAAATATGGATTATAGTACACATTCCAAGCTTTCCAATTTGTCCAAGAACTTCTCAAACACCCTTGTGGTTAGGGAGAATCGAATTTGTCAATATGGGCAAAAGTCACTTTGTTCATGAGCCATTTACATGTTCATAACTTTGCATTTTTGAAATCAACATGGTTCAAGCTAGTTACAGGCCTCTAATCTCATTTACACTCAATAATTTAATGCCAATCCTTTGTGTTCAAGCCTTATTTTGTATGTTTAACCATTGCATACAAGATTAAGCCATAAATAGAAAAAACATTTTATCTATTCTTGTAAAGATTAACTTTATGTCAAGTTTGCAATCCATGAGGTACAAAGAAAATCTCTGAGGCACAAAGGTGTGGATATATCCCACTGATCAAGAACAAACTTTGCAGCATACTTGAGAGGCCTAGAGGAGCCTGTAACAGGACTTGGCATTTTTTGACTTAGAAAAGAAGAAACTTGCATAACTAACCACAACTCTCATTGCTGCAACAACTAGCCAAAACAAATTTTGCAAACACTTTTCCCTTGGTCCAAGTAACCTAAAACACGACCAAGCCATCCTCAAGACTCCCTCATTCATCAAAACACAGTCTTGTGGCAAAACAGGGTATCTTCTGCATATTGGCTTCCACAGTTCATTTCCCTCGTGCGTTTTCATCCAAACCACCTCAAACACATTCAATAACACCCATACAAGCTATCCCCCAACCTTAGATACAGACTGTAATAGCCATAGCATAGTTTTCCATTTTCATTTTTCTCTCTTGCAGGTTGACTTCCATGGAGTGATTCAGCAAGATTCAAAGCACACCAAGCATTGGAGAAGCATCCCTGAACTTCAAGCAAGCTGTACAAGTCCTCATATTGCCTTAAAAGTGCCTCCATTATCATACACGATCCAAGCTGAACAGGTAAGTTCATGGACTTCTATCTCTCAATCTAGGAAGAGTTAGGTTTAAGTTTATGAATGAAAAATGCTCTACTCATGGCCCTGAAGCTACACATATAATTACTTTGCATTTATGTTGTGTGTGCTGAGAGAATTTGGAACCTGAATATTAGAAAAAACTTAGGTCAGGAATTAGGGATGAAGAAATTCTCCTTCGTTTCTTAGAGTTAAGTTAAGTTCTTTATATGTCTGGATTCGTCTCTTGATGCTCTACATTTTTGGTGTTATGAGTTTTGCTTGAAAGTCCAAGAATCAAGATGTTTGAATCAGCATGAAAAACGCCCGTTTTTTAGACAAACTGGTTGGAGGTTGAAGAAGATAGGCTTGGGCTAGGCCTGAGTTCTGTTTTCCTTTTTGCACCACTTTATTTCACATACACCCCCCTGACCCATTGCTTGATATATTTGTCATTTTTTTATTTTTTCCTTTTGATTTGGATTCTATATTTTTATTTAAGCATGAAAAAACATTAAAAACATTTTTCTCACATTTTTTATATTTTATTTGGATTTTATTGGTTTTATTTGAGTTTATATATATAAATAACATATATACCTTTTTGTTTAAAATACTAATAAAATAATACAAATACATTTATTTTCTGATTTTTATTTTATTTCATCTTTTGAAAATATTTCCTAAAAAATATACTTTTTTTTGTAAATAATAAATATTTCATTTTTGTGTATATTTAATATATTTAATATATAATATAAATACTTATATATTTATTAGAATATTTAGGATAAAAATACAAAATAATACATTTTTTTATTTTATTAATATTTGATCTCAAAAATACTTTTTTTTTACAATATACTTCCTTTTATTCATTTTTTATACATAATTAATAAATATTATATATATTAAATAATAAATACCTTTTATTTAGCAAAATTAGGGTTTTTGCCCTAAACATGAAAATATCCAAATTAACTCTTTTTATTTATTTTATTTTTATTTCACTTATGAATAAAACATACACTTACACAAAAATATTTACACATACATATTGCTTTATTCTTATACATCTTTACATTTACATTTGCGCAATTCGATTTGGTTGTAAATATTGGACACTACTCTCCTATGAAGTCTCATCCCCATTTGAATATTTGTACCCCCATTCCCATGATTATTGTGTAATAACTTAGGACTTTTAATTTCGCATTTAAAAGCTTTCTAAATATGCCATGATAGACTTAGGGTTTTGTATGCAAAAATCAAATAACAAATAGCTTGACCTAATCCCAAGATAAAAGCATGAAAATGGACAACACCAATCACACTTGCACCCCTAGGGTACTCCACTTGTTGCCTTCAATAATGGGCCATGTTGCATGTTAAGTGTCCTTGGCAAAACAAAAACAATTCAAATGATCATAGTCCCTCGATGATGCTTTCGAAAGTTGCCTAAAAATGATCAAGTCCCTTAAAGGAAAAGTTGCCAAAGACACTTGGCACCATTGCAATCATGGTCTAAACGATGACCCGCGCGCCGTCCCGTTCACATCCTAACACAAGATTATCCACCAAATACAATGGTGGAACAAAATTGTTAAAATGGTTAAAACATAGGAAAAATCTTTGAGAAATTTAGGGTAGATAGCTCTTGGTTACTTGAACCAACTTGCAAAACAAAAACACTTGCCTATTTTTCAAAACCACACATCACAACACACTTTCAAAACAACTTTCAAAAACATTGAAAACTTTTCAAAAGACATACATCTTTGTATACATCCCAACATGGATCATTACAAAGGTTGCCACCACATTGGCCTCTTTTCAAAACATTTTCAAACCCACACACAAAGCACCATTTCAAACAATTGAAAGCACCATTTCAAACAATTGAAAATCAAGACAAGTTGATCTAAGCAAGTAACTAAGAGCCCATGGATAACCATGGATAGAAAGGGTGCTAATACCTTCCCTTTCTATAATCTACTCCCCGAACCCAAGAAAACATCTCAAAGGTTTTTGCTGTGCTTTTTAACCTTTTCTTAGGATAAAATAAAAAGTCGGTGGCGACTCTTGCTCAACCGAAATATTTGCGAAAATAAACGCAAAACCTCAAGTCAGTTCTCCCACCGTATCACATATCCCAATTCACATTGTAAGTTGTATAAATACCTTGAAATATCAACATCAATTGTTAATGAAAATATATTTTTCCACCCTCAATTATATTCTATCTAATTCTCTATTTGTTCCGGTCTCCATATTCAAACCCTTTATTTTCACCAAATTGTAATTTTAAGTTCTAAAAAAAAATGTAATATTAAAAAATGCACTAATCATTAATTTTTTTTTCATTTTTTCTCTAACAAATTCTTACCGTTTTTCCTTGAAAAATTGGTTCATTGCATGAAATTAAAAAAATGTTATTTTTTAGAATATCGTATAAAATAAAAAATAGATTTAATTGCAATTTTATTATTTTTATTTTATATTTTTTTCGATTTTGATCCTTCTATTTCAAAAATTACTATTTTAGTTTTTAAAAAAAAAGTTTTTTATATAATTTCGTCTTTTTATTTTATTTTTTTCTACAATTTTAATCCTTAATTTTGTTTATTTTTCAATAAAAAATTAAAAAAAAACCAAAATCATAACTTTTAAAACGAGGAGATCAAGATTGAAAAAAATATAAAATAGAAACACTGAAGTTTCAATTAACCTTAAAAAAATATAATTATACAAAATCGAACATAAATCCACTTTCTCGATACACGTATAAAAGCAACATCAGCATCATATTCATCATACATAAAACTCAAAATCACACAAAACCCCCCTCCTTCCCTCCCTCGTTCTCGTCCACTCTCTTATCTCGATTCTCCGTCACAATCATAATGGCATTTCGCTCCAAATCCACCACCTTTCCCAAGGAAGTCACAGTCCTCGTTATCGGTGACAAATCCACCGGAAAATCCACCCTCATTTCCGCCATGGCTTCCGATTCTTTCTCCTCCACGGTTCCTCCGATGCTTCCACCCACTCGTTTGCCTCCTAACTCCTTCACCGATTCCACTCCTCTCGTCGTCATTGACACACCTTCAAGGTCCTCGTTCTTTCCACCAAAGCCACCATTACATGTGCTAGTTTTTTTCTTCTCTTTTTGTAATCTAAAATGTGTATATATGTTTTTGTTTTGTAGTGTGGTACAACAAGGTAAGCTTAGTGAAGAATTGAAGCGTGCTGATTCGGTGGTTGTAACCTATGCTTGTGATGATAGCGTGAGTTTTGAGCGTGTGAGTTCTTACTGGTTGCCTGAATTGCAGAAGCTTGAGGTTTGTGATTGGTTTTGATTCTTATTGATTTGAGAAAAATGAGAGGTGAATCAGTAGTTAATTTTTGTTATGATTTATAGGTGAAGGCACCTGTGCTTGTGGTTGGTTGTAAGCTTGATCTTCGCAATGAAAGAATGCAAGTTAGCTTAGCGAGTCTCACCACAGGTATCATGAACCAATTCAAAGAAGTTGTTACCTGTATTGAATGCTCTGCAGCTACACTTTATCAGGTACATTGGTCATGCAAATCTATCATTGATCATTCGAAGTTACATTGTTATTGTTAGTTTAGTGTCGAGTTAGACAATCGCGTCAACATTTTTAAGAGCGGTTTGTTTCTTTAAGATTACTCAATCCTGTATTAGTTCCAAGAAACTCGTGTGTGTTTGTAGTGGTGTAGTTGATTTGTTTTAGATCTTTAGGTTTATGAGGAGGCTTTGAATTGCGGTTGTGTCAAGACTTTTAGGTTTTGGAGAAATGATATTTGGACACCCAAAATTGGTGTCTAAAAGATGTCTCTTGGTTATTTTAAGGTGTTTTAGTGTATTTTCGAAATTCATGCAAGTGTATGAGATCCAAAAGTAGGAGAGAGATAGAGACATTGATATACAATGTCAAATACGGTGTCTAAAATTTGGTGTTCAAATAACATAGGTCGGAAAATTGTGGTCAAATAGGTTGCAGTTGCAACCACAATGTGGTCGTGGAGACATTAAAACCTTTGGCCATTTTTCTAAAACCTTGATAAGGATATCTTTTTGATGAAATTAGAGTTAATATTTGTTTTCTTAACATGTAAGTCTCGAATGCATATGTAATTGTTGATTTTGGTTACTTATAGGTTCCTGAAGTTTTTTATTTTGCACAAAAATCGGCACTTCATCCTGTGGATCCTTTGTTCGATTATGATTCAAATGCTTTAACAGATCGGTGTGTAAGGGCGTTAAGGAGGATTTTTAATCTTTTTGATTTCAATCTGGATGGCATCTTCACTGATCGTGATCTATACGAGTTTCAGGTTTTTTATAGACTTGTTCCTTTTTCCTCTCCTTTTGGATTTCATATGCTTTGAATATTTATTTAGTTTGGTTTGTCCCTTTATTTTTGAAAATTTGTATATCAACAGACTAGATCCTTCGGTGCAGAACTTCTGCAGTCTGACATAGATCAGATCAAAACAATGGTAGAGCAGAATGTCCCTGAAGGAGTCAATTCTCATGGTCTTACTTTTCGTGGCTTCATTGAAATCCATAATATGTTTCTAAAGAAAGGGCGACCAGAGACATTCTGGGCAGTTCTAAGAAAATTTGGATATGGTAACGATTTAAAATTGCGGGATGATTTTCTTCCTGTTCCATCTAAGGCTTCTGATCAGGTCATACTTTTCGCTATTATGAATCTCCATTTTTGTTTTCCTGTTTGATTTAATTGGAAGTGTTGTTAAGAGTACTGGCTTAGTCATTTAGTTGTTGTAAGTTTCAATTTCAATACTTATGAATGAAAGAAAAACTTTTTTTTCTTTCTTTTTTCGGCTGAACCAAATGAAAACTTAAATGTTAAATATGAGCTGTAATATTAACATTGGCAATCACCTACTAGCTTATGAGCTACTTGGATTGTATTGCTAGGATTAGTGATTATTAAAAATTTAGATATTATATTTGTTATAGAAAAAGTAACTTTTATGTGTTGCATGATTACTCACTCATCGTCCAGATTCTGAATATATTCTTGTACATTAGTATTCAGTTTGTAGAAATATGGCAGTTTGGGTTACAATTAGTCTACTGCCAATACTCGACATATTGTAATTTTATACCTCGTTTGTCATTGACACATTGTTTTACCATTCCTATTAAACTAGCAAATCCTGATATGCAAAAGTTTACTTTGTTTGAAATCATTCTGCAGAGTGTGGAGCTGAGCGGTGCAGCCATAGAGTTTCTGAAAGGTGTCTTTAGATTGTTAGATACGGATAAGGTATGTAATAGTTTTTTATTTTTGAACACTGCTATGCTCTTTGAACATCCCACCTTAGGTGACTTTCCATGTGAAATATTATATATATTCTGATTTTCTCTCTGATAACATGATGCTTTTCTAGGATCAATTACTACGGCCTGCAGAAATTGATAAACTATTTGATGCTGCTCCAGAAAGGTAATTTTTCCCTTCAATGACACTTAAAAAGAGTTTTCCCTTATATCTAAACCATGTCATTAGCTTACCCTTTCTTACCATTGATGGTGTAGTCTAGAACTTATTCATTGCCTCCAACTGCACGAGCGATTGCTTCTGTAGCAAGAGAAGAGCTTTTATACAATTCCCAGGCTTAAAACTCAATAACATATTGATAGGACCCAAGAGGACAACATAATTTATGGATTTAGTAAGGCAAGAGAATGGGTCCGACCCTTCCCTGGGGTCTTCAATAGCTTTTACAGTATCAAGATTCCCTTTTAGCAAGAAAGGAGAATAAATGTAGGTGATAAAAGTAGTTATTGAATAGGTTAGGAATTGATAGGAATTAACTTAACTATAGGGAGGAATTTGAAGGGGGCAAATATCTTAACTTAATCTCTAGAAGTGGTTTGATAGGGTCGTTAAATTCATGTTATGTCTCAAGGTCTTAAATAATTGTTGGATTGTTGCTGTTCATGACATCTTGATACATATTGACAATGCTCACATGATTATGATGAGAGCTTATTATGTTTGGTTATTATGAATTTGGAATTTTTAGTAATGCCATTTGGAATGATGAATGCTCCTTCAACATTTCAAGCGTTGATGAATGATGTTTTCAAACCTTTTTTGCGAAGGTTTGTGTTTGTATTCTTCGATGATATATTAGTGTATAGAACTACTTGGAAGGAGCATATGCAGCATCTTAACCAAGTTCTACATGTTCTGATGAAAAACAGGCTGGTGGTTAATAAAAAGAAATGCTATTTTGCAGAGTTCAGTGGAGTATTTGGGACATGTTATTTCTCGAAGGAGTTGCAATAGGTCCAGAGTATATGAAATGTGTGTTACAATGACCACAACAACAATTAAGCCTTATCCCACTAGCTGGGGTCGGCTACATGGATCAACTTTCGCCATAATGTTCTATCAAGGACCATGCTTCTATCCAAATCATTAATTTCGAGATCCTTCTTGAAATGTGAAGGGAGTAAGAGGATTTCTTGGTCTTACCGGCTATTATCAGAAGTTCATTAAAGATTATGGCAAGATAGCAAAACCCTTGATAGACCTCACTAAGTAAGAGGATTTCTTGGTCTTACCGGCTATTATCAGAAGTTCATTAAAGATTATGGCAAGATAGCAAAACCCTTGACAGACCTCACTAAGAAGGAGGGGTTTAAGTGGGAAGGTAAGGAGCAAAGTGTTTTTGAAGTGCTCAAAAGCAGGGTCACTACAGCACCTGTTTTGGCCTTGCCGGATTTCAACCAGGATTTTTATATTGAAAGTGATGCTTTGGGAAACGGGTTGGGAGCAATTTCGTTGCAACAAGGTCGACCTATTGCCTATTACAACAAAACTCTTGGTGAGAGGAATCTAACCAAGGCAGCTTATGAAAAGTAGCTGATGGCGGTGGCGTTATCTATTCAGCATTGGCGTGTCCTTATTTGCCGGGCCGGAAATTTACTGTTTATTCTGACCACAAAAGCTTGAAACAGTTGTTGCAGCAGCGGATAACTACAATGGATCAGCCGAATTGGGCAGCTAACTCGTTGGGATATCAATATGAAATAGTTTATAAACCTGGTCTGGAAAATAAAGGGGCAGATGCTCTGTCTCGCATGCATGAAAGTCATGAGCTACATTCTTTAATTCATTACTCGGAATGGTGGGGAGTAGAGAGGTGTTAGAAGAAGTGCATAATGATGCTGTGTTGACGAACATCATTCCTGACCTGACAACGGGGACACAACAAAACCAGGTTTTGCCTACCGTAATGGGGTGCTTCTGTACGAGGATAGGTTAGTGTTGGCTGCAAACTGTAGTTGGATTCCAAAGTTGTTGTTGGAACTTCATTCATCTCCTCAAGGTGGTCACTCGGAATTTTTCCGTACTTACTGAAAAATTGCTGCAAATTTGTTTTGGTTTGGAATGAAGAAACAAATTATGCAATATGTTCAAGCTTATGATGTTTGCCAACGACAAAAGTATATGGCTGCTGCAGGAGGACTTCTACAGCCTCTTCCAATTCCTTCATAGGTATGTTCCAATGTGAATTGTAAGCGATAGAGACCCAGTATTTGTGAGCAACTTTTGGCAAGAAATTTTCAGGTTGCAAGGGACTCACCTTAAAATGAGTACAACATACCATCCACAGACAGATGGTTAAACAGAAATTGTTAATCGTTGTTTAGAGACATTTCTGCGTTGTTTCATTGCTGATCAACCCAAGACACAGATGTTATGGATGCCATGGGCAGAGTATTGGTATAATACCACATACCATGCATCAACCAGAGTTACACCTTTTGAGGCGGTGTATGGGAGAACACCCCCACTGTTGACAAGGTTCTTACTGGGCGAAACTAAAGTAGAAGCTGTTAGAAGGGATTTACTAGACAGGGATGAATGTCTGCACCAGCTCAAACATGGTATGTATCGTGCTCGTACACACATGAAAAATCAAGCCAATCATCATCGAACCGATAGGGAGTTTGTTGTGGGAGATATGGTACTTTTGAAGTTTCGATCACATCTGCAGGTGAATGTGGAGGTGAGAATTAATCCAAAACTCGCTCCACGCTATTATGGCCCATACCCAATGAAGCTCGAACTCCGACACGGATACCGGGATACGACACCACTGATAATCTCAAAAGTATAGGACACCAACATCGCTATATATATATGATATTATTTGACCTTTAATTATTCATCTAATATTAAAAGAGTTACAAATATTCTACAACAACCAAGCCAACCAAGCTTTGTTCTACTAAGTGTGGTCAGCTACATGGATCAACTTTTGGCATAATGTTCTATTCAAAACCATATTTTTATCCAAATTGTTAAATTCGAGATCTTTCCTAATAACTTCTCTTATAGTCTTTCTAGGTCTTCCTCTTCATCTAGTTGTTTGATTTCTCTCCTTTTGATCTGCTCTCCTTACCACAAAATCTACAAGTCTTCTCTCTACATTCCCAAACCACCTAAGTCTATTTTCCACCATCTTCTCTACTATAGGTGCTTCTCCAACACTCTTTAATATTTTCATTTCTTATCCTATCCTTTCTAGTCTTACAAATATTCTAACCAAATTAGTGTTTTCAATTCTTCATTGATAACACTGCTTCAATACATGTTTAACACTTTCACATGGACATGAGATTTGTCCAAAAAATATATAAGGTGTGTTGAAGCAAAGAAAAAAAATAATTTTTTTGAAACACTTGCCTGAATTGTTCCACAAGTGTTGTATGAGTGTCATGTGGGTGTTAGACACCGATTCAAAGAGTGTCGAAGCAAAGAAAAAAAACAATTTTTTGACAATTGTCTGACTTTTCTGGCACGTGTCGTACGGGTGTTATATAAGTTCGGACACTGACATGTGTCGGACACCGCGGCACGACTGCTTCTAGAGGTGTCCGTGCTTCATAGCCCATACCAGGTGATTGAGAGAATTGGAGATGTTGCTTATAAGCTCAAATCAAACTGCCAGATACCGCACGGATCCATCCATTTTTTCTTTGCTCTCTACTTAAGAAAGCTATTGGGAATTATCAGGTTGAAAAACATTTGCCTACTGGTTTGGAAGGGAAGTTAGGAGGACTGTGGGAACCTATTGAGGTGCTTGCAGACCGGAAAATTACCAAGGCAGGGGACACTGAAAAAGCTGCTGATACGTTGGAACGGTAAACCAGTTGACGAAGCAACTTGGGAAGACGGGTTTGTTATGCGAAGCCAATTTCCTACGTTGTGACTTTGGACAAGTCTGTTTCTCCAGGAGGGAGTATTGATAGACTCACAAGACCTAAAGTGTGGAAGGTATACATGAGAAAAAATAGAAAGTAGGGATCACTGCTGATGTGGCAGTAGGGTCAGAGTAAGGGGAGTCGGGTAATTGCATTTTCTGTTATAAGAGTGGAAGGGTGGGGTAAGATTCATGCAGAAATTTGTTTTTCATTCTGTTAGGCAGAGAGTGTATTTCTGTGCGGGGCATTTGCTCTGTGGGTAGTTAGGGAGAGTATTAACCTTCTACTGTTTTCTACTTCCTCGTCAATAATAGAGAAGCATTCCTACCAATTGAATTGTTTTTCTGTTACTGTTTTATTACTTGATTTTCTGGTTTCCATCAGAACCCTTAATTAGTCCATCAACTTCATTTATGAAGGGTTTATTTTGGTTTTTATTTTCTGTCATTTAATCCAGTCCTGAGGGCTTGTAAATGTGTTTTATTGACCGTGGGTTAGTTGTAGCCTAGCAGTTCATAGTAATGTTTTTCTTTTTTTTTTGGAAATATAAATACTTTATTCGATAACCAAATACAGATTACAAAGAAAGCGATTCCAAGGGGATCCAGCTGACCCAAGATCCAAAGCAAGACAGATTGCCCCAAACACTTATGGCATCATAAGCCTACCAATATATTTCCTAATATTTGGTTTTGCCCAACATCTATACACAATAATATCAATAATTTTGGGGCCTATTGAGCTTCTACTAGTGACTTTGCCAAAACAGTGCAGATTTTTATAATGCCAAGTTTCATAGACAATTTCCGCGAAAGCACATTTAAGAATGCTAGCTCTCCAACCCTTGCCTAGTTCATAGTAATGTTATTATAACTCTTTGACATCTCTATTATTCTGGGAGAATGAATCGTTTCAGATCTGAACCTCCAAAAATGTGATGTGCTGCTTACTTGATTTGGTTATGACTCCTTGTAACCAATATGTGAGTCTATGGCTGTGTGCACATATTTTTGTGTTTTTTGTTTCTTGGCATGTATCGTTGCCCTTTATTATTACTTATGTCACAGAGGAGATGTTGCACCCTCTTTTTTTATTTATTTGATATCACCTAACCATAATCCACTTTAACTACTTTCCTTCTACATCCTATATGGTTAGCAATTAGCACAACGTGAAGTATTACTACTATACCAATTCCTATGCGCATATATCATTATGTACCTCCAAATATGCTACATTTCTTTACTCAATATTTTTCATTACTTTCTTTTTACGAAATTGAAGGAGCGGATGGTTTTGTTTTAGGGTATAGTGCTCAACGAATTATTTCAAGCTATGAGAATTTGCCTGTTACATTCATTATTGTACAATTTTGATCCTTCAATTTTTTTTGGAGCCAATCAAGTTCATATATTAATTGAATGCTTCATAACCTATTGAAATAATCCTATAGCTGTCTAAGTTTCTAGACCGGAGATTGTATATGTACATCTCATATTTTCTTGTTTTTCATTTTAGTCCGCGGAAGGATGCTGTATAAGTTTCTAGACCGGAGATTGTACATCTCATATTTTCTTGTTTTTCATTTTAGTCCGTGGAAGGATGCTCCATATAAGGATGCAGCTGAGACAACTGAAATGGGTTCTATAACTTTAAACGGATTTTTGTCTCAGGTGATTATTTATTACTTTTTGTTTTATTCTTAAACCTGTCATTATTTAATAATATTCTAAAAACAGATTTATATTTCCTCATTTTGAGTATTATTATTAATTATATGTTCTAAAATGGTTTCTCTTGCTTCTGTAGTAGAGAATGAGGTTGGGGTAGCTTCCAAGTCCTAATTTAACCGGTTTTGGGAGAAAATTTCTAGTGATTATTTCAAATAAGAACCAGGAAAGACGCAACAACACATCTTTGTCTCTTAAAATTGTTAAAATGACTTGCCTATCATAATCAGTGAAGATCTGAATTTAGCTATTTCAAGATAGTTTCTTCAACTATTTTCTTGGGAGGATATTTGAATTTACTCATTGCTGTTGTTTCTTTCTTTTAATCAATAGAGTTCTCTTAAAATTGTTAAAATGACTTGCCTATCATAATCAGTGAAAATCCGAATTTATCTATTTCAAGATAGTTTCTTCAACTATTTTCTTGGGAGGATATTTGAATTTACTCATTGCTGTTGTTTCCTTCATTTAATCTATAGAATTCCATTGTTCTGCTCATCTGGATAACTATCCAGAACTTTGAAAGTATTGTGCCATGCCATATTTTCCCATGAAGAAATTATTGCTGTGGTTTCCTTGTGAGAGACCCTCCCTCCCTTTCATCGAGTTATCATTTTCTCTTTGCTGCATTTTTTGAATGGGACGTGTCATCTCCACGTTTAGTAGGTGATTGAGTTTATTACTGACATGTCTTTTAAATTGTATGGTGCAGTGGGCCCTTATGACTTTACTGGATCCAAAATATAGCTTGGCCAATTTGATTTACACCGGATGTAAACTTAAGCCTGCTGCAGCACTCCGTGTCACTCCTAGAAGATCAGAAGAACGCAAGAAGCAAAAAACAGAAAGAAATGTGTTCCAATGCTATGTTTTTGGTTCTAAAAATGCAGGAAAATCTGCTTTTTTATTTTCATTATTGGGAAGGTGTGCTCCTGAACCAATCGTCATAAATCATAATCAATGCGCCCGAGCTTGTTTTATTAGTTCTAATCTATCAGCATGTGGAATCTTATACGCTCATATTGTTCATTTTTTGTTTCCTTCAAAGGAATATTTAACCCTGTCAATGTCATAGGTCTTTCTCAGATTTCTATACTCCGACAACTGTTGAGCAGTATGCAGCAAACAACATTGAATTAACAAAGGTAAGGATGACTTTTATAATGAGAAAGTATTATTACCATTTGAACGATTCTGAAAAATGATACTGTCATTCTCTCTTGTTTTCCCTTGATATAGTATACCCTATGGCTGATAACCAATAAAGAAAGTTCCATAGATGTAGCTGATATTGATTGCTTCAAGATGCTAACAATCCTTATGTTTACCATATAGGGAACTAAGAAAACTCTCATATTGCGTGAGATTCCAGAGGATGAAGTATCAAGTTTTTTATCAAAAAAGGACTGTCTTGCTGCATGTGATGTAGCTGCTTTTGTACATGACAGGTCTGGTGCAAAATGATTTCATGTGGTAATGCTTTGCTAAAGTTTAGCAATAGAAAAACTGCATTGCATTATTGTTTCACTTTAATCAACCATTATTATCATTTGTTTGGAAACATAACATTGTAAGATCTTCTAGATCTGTTTATGGTATTTTTATTGGTTAGGAGGAAACTGATAGGATCTGGCAGAATATGATAACTGTTGTATGCAAGAGCAGTGATAGTGGGAATATCTTTTATTCAATGGGAACTGTTACAGACACAGCACTAACATGTAACTGCCAATTAAAGGAAATAATTGACACAATAATAACCGACCTCTAGGAATTATAGAGCCTAGTCTCTCCCGAACCAAATCACAATTAACAACAATCCGATGACCAGTAATTGTCATCCTTATTCTATTTAAAACACATTGAATAACACAAAATGGGCCTAATTACTTGGGCTTTTGGCTTCACGCATATTATAGACAAACTTGATAGGAGGCCTACTAACAGAAACATAACTGAAAGATCTTCTAGAACCGTTTATGATCCTTTAAAGTGACTACCTTAAATGAGTTTCCCTATGAGCTAGTTTATTAATTTATGTTGAACAAATTTTCTGAATTAGAAGCTAATACTTAAATGCTTAAAATAGTTAATCTGATCTATGGATCATTTTAAATGTAAACAAAAATCAATGTGAAATCTAATTTGGCGTGCATTTTTGTGGTTCCTATTTTTCTAGAAGAATATGATGCAATTGAATTTCATACCATACAATATTATATACTGAAAATTGAGAATGGCGCAGGATTTACGCCTAAGATCGTTGTTTCTTATTTTCCAGCTCAGATGGATATTCATGGAAGAAATCCATAGATTTGCTCGAGAAAGTTGTTAACCAAGGAGAGCTAACTGGTCACAAATTTCCTTGCCTCCTCATTGCTGCTAAGGATGACTTAGCTCCATTCCCAAGGGCAGTATTAGATTCATATAAGGTAATGTGTTTTCCGCTGATACTTACCACTTACCATATCGTTTCATGCGTGATGATAATCTAAAAGTTCATTGACTCATGGTTATACCTGAGTTCAGCATTTTATTTTCTATTTTTCCTTATAATGTAGGTTGCTCAGGAATTGAAAATAGATGCACCTATTCGAGTGAGTATGAGATCAGGTGATTCAAACGATGTCTATAGTAAGATTGTCAATGCTGCAGAACACCCTCATTTAAGTATTCCAGAAACTGAGTTTGTGAGGAAAAGAAAGCAACAACAGCAACTTCTCCACTCTTTCATTTTTGCCTTAGGTGAGCTTATTGTTCTCTACCTCCCCAGAATATGATAGCTTGGCTAATACTAAACAAATCTGCATAATACCATTTTTCTGTGTTAAACTTTTAAATATCTTATGATTATGTCTTGAACTCACAGCTGGGGCTGCTATGGCATTTGCGGGTTTGACAGTTCGTCGTGTACGTGCAAATAAGAATTCTTCTTAGCCACATCAAACAACACTTGTTGACTTTATTTTGCATTGTAAATTTGCTAATAGGGTTGGATTGGTTTCTAAATTAAATAATTTAATCCAATTCTATTGGATTTTATCATTTTATTATCTAATTGTAATAGTTTTAGTTTTAAATTTGATTTGACTGCTCAATCTAAAGCATTTGTGTTTGATTAGTTTATTTATGAAACATTTAGTAAAAAAGAAATATATAGTAAATTTTTAAAACACTTGTCACTGTATTCTATTGCAAATTGCTGGTGTGAGTGTTGTAAGTTCTGGATTATTGAGTTTGAATTGTATATATAAATATTTTTAATTTTTTAAAATATAAACATCATCTTATGCAAGTTATTATCATCCATTTAAAAGTACCTTATAAGTTATAATCATGTGTTGTATCATTAGAAGAGTTTGAGCCTTTAAGCATTTGGCTTTGGGTTTCACGTTGATTTGTATTGTCCTTGATAACCTGATAGTAAGTGGGTACTTCTGGAGAAAATTCACGATGCCTCTAGAATTTAGAGATGTATTTTTGGTTGTATCTTTTTTATCTAGTCATCAGTGCAAATGGGTGAACCATTCTAAATTTAATTTGGATATGCATTTTTTGTATCAATATTACCGTGATGATGGAGATACATATTTGTAACAACTCTTAATTCAAAATTAAGTGAGTTTATAAAGATGTATCTTTAGAATATTCTCCGTTAGGTCAAACAAAAAACAAGCCGAAACAATGGCAAAATGTTGGAAAAACAACACAAATTAACATAAAAATACTGAATATTACATAGATAATCGTTAACATAAATTTAATATTATATTTCATTACAAATGAGTGGTTCAGGACATTGCCACATCTTTAGAATATTTTTGATCGATCTTGTAATCGTCACATCCACTTCAATTAGACCCTTTGATGAGTAACTGTAAATATACTCTACATAACCTTTAAATTTTCATCCGTCTTCAGTTCAAGTTTGACGAACCATATCTCCCCTTCATCGTCAATCGAGAGTGAACGACTTGACAACTCTTTGATTTTTTTTGGATATCGCAGGAGAGTATCCAATTTGAAATTCAAATCAATGAGAGGTATGTCCTCAGAGACCTTATATTGAAGTGAGAGCTTTACACCATTGAAATATATAAATGTAAGATGAAGATATGTATTCATCCTGGTGTGTTGTATTTTTGTAAAGAATATGGAATGTGAAACTCTCTATTTATACAAGTTTTAGATTAATTTGGACCTTAGAAACAATATTATGTCATCGGTGTATATTTTAAATATGCATATTCAGACACACCATATTATTTTTACAAAATATTTTTTTTTTGGAGATACATATCCGTAAAATCCTCTGTTTAGTTGTATTTACAAGTAAAATGAGGTTTGTCCGGAGATGCATATCCGGAATCACCTCACAGAGGACTATATATACATAACTAGGATATATGCATGACTAAATTTTGAAACAGAAAAAATGTCTAAATTTCACCCCTAAATTCTATAATATTAATGTAGAATATAGATTAGTATGTCTCAAATTATATCGAGAGTACAACATTGACATTATTACATATAAAAACGAGTTACATTGTTAGATAAAAACAAAAATGAATCAAACATGTGTGACCATCTAAATCTATATCTATTGGTGGTTCCTTCATTAACATTTCTTTATTTGATTTTCTTTCAATGTAGCTCAACTTGGTGAACTCTTTCATCCTTTCCAGAAAATTATTCGGTTAAGTTTCAACCTCTTTTATGAAACGTCCCATCCACTATGGTGATGTCTATGGCATAAGACACCCAAATTTCAAATAAACTTGAATAAAAAATATTGTGTTTTTGAAAGCCACTCAATACACATGATGAAACCAGATGGATCTCGAGGTGACCTACTCCAAAGTGGAAAAATATTTTTGAGAAACCATATCGTGTCAAATCAATACACACCCTATCATAAGCACTTGCTATAAGACGTCCCATTGCAGGGAAGTACATCCATTTTTCAACCGGTGTCAGGCCACTAACACAAGGAACAAGAGCATTTTGAACTGTATCATAATATTCTTTTTTCCCGTATAGCGTTGTGTATGATTCCCTATGCATAGTCAACTCTTGTATATATTGATGACAGACAAATATGTGGTTCTCATCTCATTTATCGAGCAAACCCGAAACAACTCAAAAATCGTAGTTGCCGCCCCTATTCATATCAACAACTCACTCAATGTATTTGTGCATAAAAAACAACAACTTATCAATGTGGATACTTTTTGGTAGCGGTGGTGAAGGAGATGATATGCTAATGCGAGCACCCTTGAAAACACTTTTTTAAGATATTGGAGTTGGAGAATCCGAAAAATGTGAGTCAACATGTTCAAAGTATGAAGGAAACTGTCTTGTAGAGTTGTCACTATGTTAGTTTGACTTTTTTAGGGGCACGCCTTTATTTTAACCGATTCAAACGATAGTTTTAAATATGTTGTTTCTGGATAGGAAATCATTCTCAAATGCTCTTTGATGTGCAATTTCATATTGTCAGCATCTTTTGAAAATATCTCTTGGATTACTCCCTATTCGGTCATAATAGTTATACTTGATTTATCATTCTTCAACACACCATCGTCATCAAACCTGAGCCTTTTCTAGTGGGTGTAAACTTCATCCATACATATAGGTTTATCAAGCTCTATCTTCTTTGAAATTAAACAAGCACATGGAAGATCGTATGTATTCTTAAGTGTACAAGCATACTATGAGCTATATGAACCTATTTTATCTGCTCGATTAACTTTGTGAAAAATAAAGTTCTATCCGACTCAAGATATGTTACCAACCAACTGTGAATAAAGAATGTTGTCTTTGAATCAGTGTTCTAACTGTGAGTGCAGCTTTACCATTAGATGCTTTGCATGATGTCAAAACTATGAAAACTTAGCATTTTTATATATTTGACGATATTTGTATGTCTTGTGACATTCCCTTGCATTAGAGGTCTTAGTAATCCTTGAAAACCATTTTGAAATTTATCAATGTCTTGAAAAACAAGTTTTAGCATAAAATTCTCTTACATGTGCCGGCACATACGTGTTTCAGGCCGACACATGTAACTTAGCTTTGAAGCCTATAGCCTATAGAGGTCTTAGGCCGACACATACATGCATACAGGCAGGCACAGGCTGAAGCTTTCATAAATTGCAGAATTTCTTATTTTATGCGGCACATATGAATTTCAGGCCGACACATACACTGCAGTTTTTAAAGCAAAACGCTATTACCATGCTTAAGCCAGCACATCTGCTTTTTAGTTCGACACATACAGTTAAATTTTGAATTATGTGTCGACACATACAATCTTCAGGTCGACTCATACTGTTTGATTTGGTCAATTTTTTAATTCTAAAAATTACCTCTTTGCATCTAAACTTTAACAGTTATAAATACATCATATTGTTTGATTCACTAGTTTCGTAACTTTAGTGAAGAAATCAGATATGCTCTCGATATCTTCCATCTGAAGCAATTCATGCATTCTGATCTTATCTGATCAGACTTGGACCGTCACGACTGGCTCCGAGCAGAAGTTGAGTGAGATGACGGAGGGGGGTACCTGCAAGGCACTCCGATGCTAAAATGAGTGACGGAATGAGCAGGCAAAAAACGTATGTATGGGTAAGAGATGAATACCTGACCCTCTAGGAACAAAGGGTATTTATAGCCCTCAACGCGGGACCAAGGTCCCCTCATTGGGCGGACCAGAACTAGCCCAATAAAGGAACTGCCAGGTTCTACGTGTGTAGTGGAGACCCGCACATGGTCTCCTTCCTGGTGATGCTCTGCGAGAAATGAGGAGGGACGAAGACACGGTCTTTCCGGAGTTCAGGTGATTTGGTAACGGTCAGAATCTGCCCTACGAGGAGGGTGCTCGAGCTGGAGTTCCCGTGGTCGGGGACACCATGTGTCGCGGGCAATGGCGGGCACGACTATAATCTGTGGTCGGGCGCGCTGGCGGGAATCCGCAAGAGCGCGCCCTTCGAGGAGTTTGCTTGGATTGGGCCTTTGTTCTTTCTTTTGGGCCAGGGCGGGCCCAGTCCAGAACAGGATCCCCCCAAGTCGTGGCTCCTGGAGCAGGAGTTATGACTTGACCTCAGCTCGCCTTTGCCACGGGGTCTGATGCCTGACCCAGGATATTTACTTCTCCGTGATTGCTCGAGAAGTTTTTCATGAGTTGCGTTCGTGGCGTAATCCTTGTCGATGCATGCTCGGGGGATTCCCCGCGGGCTGTGTTCGTTGGATACATGAGGCAACCCTTGGGAACCGTGATGCCACCCTAGCGAAAATAGGGCCATCATTGCCTAGGGGAGTAGACGTCGAGGAGGGGAAGTTCGTGGTTCCCCGGGGTGACGTTTCGTATTCCACGTCATCCCTATAAATAGGGTCCTTGGGTCCCATAATTTGTTTTTCCTCTTCGCGCTTCTCCTTTTTCCTCTGCCTTTGCCGCCGCTATTTTTCTACAACTTCGCAAGATTACCGTACCTTCCTCCGTCGATTTTCTTCACCGCTGCCGTACATTCTTCTTAACTTCCAAGTAAACGTTTATCCCTCCTATTTTTCTTTGTTGTATGTAATTTTTCCGTTATTTGGATGTTGGAAACCCACATCTGGGATTTGCGCCTGGTACGTTCATGTTTGTGCCCGGTAAACGCATAGCTTTAGGTATGTGACTCGCAATGCTGCTCGGGACCTTCATGGTTTTGGGCGCATAATCTATGATACTGCCCGGTAAACCCATAGTTATAGGTTTAGGATTCATGATATCGCTCGTCACATTCATAATTTAGGTCGGCGTACACATGGCTGGCCGGGATGTTGGCCCATTAGGAAGTATGTAGGACAACTCGTCGTGGCGCCTTAGCGTCGGGGAGGCGAAACCAGGATCTTGTTTGAGTCCTTAACGTTTTAACGCACGCGGAGTG